GGAATTACATTGTAGGCGTTGGCTGGAGCAGGGGGAGGATGGTAACGACAGAAATTCGGCTCTGGCTTCCATGAGAGCTCTCACCTTCTCCTGAAGTGAATCCAGCAGTGTAAAGCAGTGAAATCGGTAGGAGGTTTGTTTCCCTACTGGGCTTCCCAGACAGGAAAGCAAAAGCAAGGATTGCCCCTGTAAAATGGCCATCCTGCAGAAAAAAACATGAACGTGCGTTGAGAATTTCTCTTTTTGCCCGTGTTGTGCTGCCTGGTAAGTGCAGCAGGCACACCCGAGTGCTGGGAGCTGCTCTGGGATCAGCCCCGGGATCACCATCCCTGCAGGATGGGGAGCACCAGCTCAGGGAAGTGTGTGGTGCTGCTTATGTCTGAGGTTGGGTTCGTCTGAGGTGTATCTGCAGCAATAATACATCATAAGTACATGTGGAGAATGAAGACTGATTTGAATGGGACAAAAAGCATTATTAAAATGAGAAAACACATTAGTTGTTGCAAGATTGGAGCCCTAAGATGTTCTTTTGTCCCACCCTCACATATGCTGAGGTAAAGGTGGTGGAAGTACATAATTGTCTTCAACAGCAGATCTTCAAGTCCTAATTTTGGCCAGAGCAAAGACAGAAAGATACTTCTTGTGTGTTTTCAATGAGAAAGGTAAATTGATTGACATCATATAGTTACACCCAACATCTAGGTATGCCTTTACATTTTTGGAGCAGCGTTGGTAATTGAGCAAGCAATGCTTGTAAAAGTAAATCTATTCATTTAATGATGGGCCTTTGGAAATAACATAAGCCATAAAAATGACTCATTAGCTATATTTCCTCTCTTAACTGGTTATATTTAATTACAAAGGACAAGGAGGAAAATTCAACTAGCTGTACAGAGATCTCTTTCTGTGAACTACAACATAGGGGTCTCCTAGTATTTCCTATAATTAAGTACATTTTGCTTTATTGTGTTTTAATTAATGCAGGTATCACTATCACATGATTCACCTTAGCCAGTGGGGTGAGATTTTTATGTTGGCCTATCCACCAACTGTTACAAACACCTTGCAATGCTGAATAGTATTTGAAATGTACATTATGTTGTTTAATCTTCAGGTACTGAGAACTAGGTATTCTTACTCAAATTCAAAAGCTGCTGTTATAACCTGAACATTCTCTCTGGAAGTACAGCAGCTTCAGAAAGGTGCATGTTATTTTTCCTCCAAACACTTAGCCACAGTGTAATTAAAACTTCTTCATTGAGATACATCCATGACCTTTTCTTTGAATACAATGAATGCACCTGTTTCTATACAGTGAAACACTAATGCATGTACATGTTTTCAAAGATAAAACAATAGTTAATGCTGCCAGGGAGTTGCAGATTTTTTGTTTTGTCAGTCGAGGCCTATATAGCATAAAAAACAGAGTTACCATACATAGTAAGAAAATGTTAAGACTTCTTTGAATGTTTCCATATTTTCTCTTTATTTCCCAGATCACTGGTTAGGTCTCCTCGTTTGTCTTAGGGATCAGGCCTTGTCTTACTTTGATGTTGGCATTTTTGTGTTGCACACTAAATATGCTGGACAGGTATTGTCTGGTTTCAGAGCTAGCACTGGAGAAACGTTACAGTGGCCAAGCTCTTTGCATTTAGGTATCTCACACAGATATCAACACCACAGCTTCCTTCTAACCCAAAACACGACTTCCTGAGCATTGTCACACATTCTGCTTTAGGCTATGTCACTGGGGAATGTCCCCATTTTGGATTATGTTGGCTGTTTTAGGCAGGGGGCTGCAGCAACAGGGCAAGGGGTGCTTCTTGGTTGGCACACACTGCCAATGCACTCGATACAGCTGGATGAGCTTCCTGTGGGAGACCTTGGAACCAGAAGAACGTCTGTTGGGAAAGGGATTAGAGTAGCAATGCATCAGGAGACTGAAAGGCAGCTGCTTAAGCTTCCTACAGCCTGTGTATATTGCAGGTCTGTTAGACTGACAACTGGATAGCAGTGGCTGACAGAGATGACTGGTGCTAAAGGCTCTCAAAAGCCCAGATATGCTTCATATAGGCCACTTAGAGTGAAACAAACTTCAAGGCTTGAATCCTGGATGGATTGACAAAATAAGTATGGGGCTGGGATTTCATGTCAGAAACACATTCTAAATTGATGATGGAAATAGCTTGGTCCTGCCTACACTAAAATTAGCATTTATGCTATTTTTAGCATTTATGTTGTAAGTTGTAGCAAACTTCTTTGGTTTACGTGAAGTTCAAAATGGTCTGAACAACGTTGTAAATACCAAAATGCTTGCAGTTTGGCAGAATACTCTCCAGTATATACCTTCACTGCCTCTAAACCCTCAATTCCTGAATACCTGCCATCCTCAGACATCCACACAAGTTATTTAAATAACTACTATTTTTTAAAAATTACTGAATGTAAGAGCCTTTCTGTGTATGTCTACCTGGCACTGAGGCTTGAAGAGTAACTTAAGCCAAAAAAAAAACAGGCACTGCAGTTTGCAGGCCACCTTTCCCAGACTTCTACAGCCTTGGGAAAATGCAGCATATGTGTGGCCCTGTGGTGAGTTACATCAGAGAACCAGAACAGCCTATATGTATTCAAGCAAAAAAGTGAGTTTTGTCAGATCAAGCCCTCCTTCTCATCTGTCATGTGGCCACAAAGGTCCTACATACATTCTCAATGTTTAAACAAAATTCTGAACCCAATTGAAGGCCTTGGTTATCTCCAGTCAGCCTCCTGGCCCCTGTCAGTCTCCCAACAGACTCCCTAAAAACCTCTCTGTCTCGGTTCCTGCTGCCCCACCCATCTGATCTTAGCTGCTCACCATATTTCTGGTTATAATTGGGGTTTATCCTGAAGACAGGCTTGATGGTTTGGGATACGGTTTTCTTGGTCCAGAGTTCAGCTCTTCCTTTTTCTCCTCCCTGCTTTGTTGTATCTTTGGATTCTGCCTGCTGCTGTGGAGGCTGGGTTACCCACCAGGGCTTCCCCTGGCCTTTCACACCTTTGGCTCTGCTTTGTTGTATGGCCTTCCAGATACACAGTGTGCTCTTTGACCATCCTGTTGCCTTGTTCTTTGGACTAGCACATTCCACTGGCATATCTGGTTGTTGGCATCTGATCCACAATTAGTTTTTTGGCTCCATTCCTGGACTCAGTGTGACCCACCTTCATCCTGGGAGACTCTTGGTGCCCATGATGTAGCTGAGAAACTGCCTCAGGAGATTTAACCTTCCCTTGATGTTCTCAGGAGGTCTCCTGCGTGACTTGGAGCAGCTCATCTTTGTGGCTGTTCAGTGAAAACACGCAGCACTGTTTAGCGGTGGAGGGGAGTGACCCAAACCTCCCGGCACACGAGCGGGAGCTGCGCTCCGTAGTCGAGTGCCCTCTGACCAAGGGACACCTGGCACAGGCGCGACTGTCCCCTCACCAGATGTGTCCTGTCACCCCAAGGCGGAGCCACCCTAAGGTCGGAGGGCTTCGCGGATGCCCGGAGCGGCCGGGCGGGCCGCGGCAGGTGGAAGAGCCGCTTCCGGGAGCCGCGGGCAGGTGAGGGAGGCGGCGGCCGCCCG